TTGGCTATCGATTGATAATCATTTGATTCATATCGTGTGAAATATTTGCTCTAATTTGGTAACAAGGCTCAATTGAAAAACCTGAGCAAGAAAGACCATGAAAGGCACACACCCCGCATACCAGCATCTGCGATGCTGGGCTCCGCATCGCGGGACCGCAGGTTGTTTGAGCAAGCACCTTTGTAAACGCAGCAAAAACGCCCGCCGCCAAACGAGAGGATGAGCCTTGCACGTGCGGACCGGAGTCGGTGTGCTACGGACTGACGTGCACGGCACCCTATTCGCCGGTCTATAGCGGTGTGCCAAAGCGCTATAGACCAGCCTTGCGAAAATGGCGCCTTGCGAGTTGCGACAAACGTAGCACATCTCGGCAAACGAGGCGCCTCTTTGCTTCTCGTTTTAGCATGCATCCCTCCGCCAAATAATATCCTAATCGGACCATATTTGGCAAAGTTGTGGACATATTGCGTTTTGCGGCATAAATGGCGCATTGGATAAAGGTGGTGCATTGCGGCAAACGTGGTGCATTGTTATTGTCGTTAGAGCATGCATCATAACGCCAAATCGCATCCTAATCGGACCATGTCCGACAAAGTTATGGACACTTATCGACTTGCGGCGAAAATGGCGCATTGTGACAAATGTGGCGCATTGCGGTAAACGCGGTGCAGTTGTCCTTGTTAATTAATAATGCATCCATCCACCAAAATCTAGTCCAATCGGACCATATTTGACAAAGTTACGCATATTTAATATTTCGCTATGACGTATCTCCGCCACGAAGGTGCCCATCTTCGCACGTGTGCCACGTGACTACTGGTGGTGTAAGCAGGACTTGTCCCCTCACTGATTGCACCATTTCAGTGTTCCTGGCTTGTGCTGTTTTCGTGCTATAAGGCCACAAATCGGCAAACACACGATAATCTGGGAGGTACACGACTCAAACACGTAGCCACGTGGCACGTGCCGGACCTCTGATAGCTTCACCGTTCACGCCACGTGATGACCCATCGACGTGGCCATCAGCATGTAAAAGATGACCCCGGCCGGTGTCACCGTCTCTGAACAGTGGACGGCTAAACTCGAAAAACGGGAAAATTTAGGGAAATTTCACCTTCCGAATATATGATTTCCCCAGAATTTTCAATTTTTCATTTTACAAAAAATCCGAGATAGCAGTTTTGTAGCCCCCTTCATTTTGTGCCTAAACCCATTTTCAGATCGACCCTATCATAAAAACTGACGGCCTGACGGCTATTTCCCCCACTCCTTGCATTTCACAATGCTAGTATATTTAAGCACCAAAATTGACCCCGTGCCACGGCACGTGCAATCGCACGTGCGACACGTGACCACTAGTGCGACAAGCTGGACTCATCTGCTCACCGGCTGCACTGATTTGGTGTCGCTAGTTGAAGTCGTTTCCACGCCATAGGACCCCGAGTAGGCCAATGTCGGATTTTCCCGGAGGTTACCCCATCAAACACGTTTGCACGTGGCACGTGCTTTTCAATCGCCCCATATCTGACCCATACCATGTGGTAGCCAACACCACGGGGCACAACATATTGGAACATTTTCAAAATCTAACGTGGAATTTTTTTGCAAAATCGATTTGAAAATAATTTTTCGAATTCGCCATAGGCTCAACATGGGGTAACTGTTTGTGACGATTACCCGAAATTTTGTCAATTATATTTTAAGTAATTACCACCGTCAGTTGGGGTGCCAGCCCGAGATTCGACCCTAAAAATATCAGCAAATATAATTGACGAAATTTTTCGCAAATCGCATTTTAATTTTTTCCCATGTTAACCCTATGGGAAAATGCACGTGCCGATTACCCCAAAACGGGCCATTATATTTCAAAACGAAGCATAACAACATGTTCTATGGTCGTTTCTCAACAGGTCCTGAAAGTTTAAACAAAATCGTATCATATAATTTTGTGCAATGAACGAATGAAAATGTCTCTGCAAAAACGTCCATTGACTTAACATGGGGAGCGAAAAAAGTTCAACTTTGACCTCGTGCAAAGGCACGTTACGAAATTCTGAGGGGTATACGGCGCACACTAGCGTGTACCCAAACGTGTTTGCCATAAAATACTGGGATGAAAACCACCCCTTTCTTGGCTCGTTTTTCCGCCATTCCCGATGGCGCAAAAAGTGTCGAAAACCCCATTGACTTAACCCGCGCCCTGCTGGGGGGGTGTTTGAACACCCCCCCTTGTGGTTTTTCGCGAATATCTCAAAAACGGCGGCGCGGAGCGCCGCCGTTTTTGGTACACCTTATCATACATCAATTCTACACATGCTGTGAAAATTTCAGACCAAGGTCATTCAAGGTCAGGTCACCAGGTCACTTGAAGTGACCTCACCTCATAAAAAGTTTCAATGTCTGTCATAGCTACACCGAGTGACCGATCGCTTTGAAACTTTTAGCGATTGCTAAGAGCAATAGCATGTACAAAATGTATATCTCAGAATTTTGATATCGATGACCTAAGGTCAGGTCAATTTTGCGACCTTCCCATTATAAGTCAATGGGAGAAAATTGAAATGCGCCTCTTTTGGACGTAAGACATTATAAACACTCCCAAACACCGAATTACAAGTGGTTTAGGCACACTGAACATGAAAATGGTGTCCGTGACCCTTGTTTATGCCCTGAGGTCATCTTAGGTCACGAATGGTATCTAACAGTTTTTCGCAAATAACTTTTGATAGAGGCGTGCTAGAGCGATGAAAACGCCTTAGATGTGTTCAGCTCGACGATACGGATCGACTGATATGCAACATGACCCTTTCCGGTCAGGTCATGACCTTGACCTGAGGTCAAATTTTCAAGTTGACCTTTCAAGGTCAAATTATAGTTCATTCGATGCGTCTTGACGAGAGGAACACGATGCCGGTGAAAGTAAGCTCGTACAAGGCTTGGGTCAAAAGTTATTGCAGAAAAACTGTTTCCGAAAAAATCGGCTATTTTTGCAGTTTTTGCCCCCTGCAGGCAAAACCGTTGACGTTAGGTCAAATCTGAGAGAATTACTCAGAAAGGGCGTTAATAGGGCTATCGAATGCGCTTTTCCGCGGCGCTGTATCTCTATTGGTTCCCGAGTTATGCGTTGGCTTCTTGGAAATTTTCGACATTCGACCTGGAAATCGGCGAAATTTTGCCTTCAATGACCTCTGGTGACCTGACCTTTGACCTGACCAAAAAATTGACCGAAGTGATTTCGTCATTATTTTTGACGCTCTTTCGAACGCCGCCTTCCGCGTATCGCTACGTGGCCCAGGAGCCGAGTTACAAGGGGGGGTGTTCAAACACCCCCCCCCCCCCCAGCAGGGCGTGGAAATCCAGGACCCCCAGCCGGGCGCGGGTTAACATGGGCGAAAATTGAAACGCACGTGCCACGTGCCACGAGGTTTTAAGCGAGTAGCGACCGGTGCCATCAGGTAGATCGCCTGCGGGAGCCCATACACTGAAATTTTTACGAAAATCGAGCCACAAGTTTAGGCCCCAATCAAGATGTCTCGATTCGCGGCCAGACATGCAAAACATAGCCCGGAGAAGGACCGCTCCGGTTGTTTTTCAATAGAAAAACACAATTCTAACGAATAGTGTTTGTCTTTTCAAACAACCTGCGGTTACGGTGCCATCAGGTAGATCGCCTGCGGGAGCCCATACACTGAAATTTTTACGAAAATCGAGCCACAAGTTTAGGCCCCAATCAAGATGTCTCGATTCGCGGCCAGACATGCAAAACATAGCCCGGAGAAGGACCGCTCCGGTTGTTTTTCAATAGAAAAACACAATTCTAACGAATAGTGTTTGTCTTTTCAAACAACCTGCGGTTATAGGTAATAGTGTTTGTCTTTTCAAACAACCTGCGGTTATAGGTAACTATTATACGAGTATAATTTGAAAGTTCCACACTTCAGCGGTGCAGCATTCAAAGTATTTGTCCACAAAACGTCAGTTCGTCGTAAGCTCTGGTAAAATATTAGCGATTATTACTTGCAATTATTATTATTTTTATTATTATTATTTTTATAGGTATTTCCAGATTGCACCACATCTGTGCGGTGTGCGTTACATCAGTCACGCATATGTGGCGTTATGCTTGAACAGCTCATTGTTTGACCAGCAGAACACCGTAGTGCATTATTTGGGCCACCTATTGTCGCCTGCTGAGTTATGATGCACTGATGGTGTCAGTAACAAACGCTGATAAATGATACGACGAAGCCCCATCGTATGCGTAGACGGTGCCGAACGGCCAAATACGCAACGCGTTGCGCTGCTGTCGGCTGCGTATTCTTGTTACCATGATGAACATTAGGCTGATGACAAAAGGTGCAGCTAGTTATGTGGCTGACTTAACGAGCATATGTGACGACGTTTCTCGGTACGAGCTCTCGGCCACTGAACGAGGCTGTGGGCTCGTGCATTGGCACCGAGCCTGCATCTTTGATGTGTTGGGTCGATGTTGGCTGGGTGGAATGGGCGCCTTCTGGTCTCCATATAGCGTTTCTTTGACCTTCCGTCCGCTCGTTTGGAGAGTGAGGTCTTTATGTTCTTTGTTATGTTGATGACTGCGTTAGTGCTATGCTTTAAAATTTGAAGCCCTTTGTGAAATCCACTCAACATTAGGCTATTTCTCTGCGCCTCATCCATAAATATAATGTTGAGTGTTTACATGCATAGGTGTCAATACTCAACACGATACCTGATTTTGCGTAGGAGCATACTCTATATGTAAACTTCGGCGCGGGGCTGTATACGACATGATAAAATCACTGGCTAAATGGTATCAAGATAAGGGTTCCAGCGACCAGTAGTTCAGATGCTGTGAACTGTCAGCTGTAATCCTGCTGTTAGACTCGACCAAGTTCACCCTGTCCCACTCAAGTGGGCCGAGTACCTATTAGAATAGTGTTCGCATCCACACCACTGTTCGCCGGGATCCTCATCTGCCAAATATATCTGACTGTGCGCAGGCGGTCCACCGGATGTCGGAGCTGCTCTCCATCAAGCCGCAGCTGATCGAGGAGCGCGTGCTGAAGCAGATGTACGATGACATTGCCGGAATGTACAACATCCTCACCAACAAGCCCGACATCTCGCTGGCCGCGCGGCTCCCCGAGGTGTGTAGGAGACGGTGACCTTGGACCCGACGTTTGACAATAAGCCATGTGTTTCAAATAACGAATAACCCTGAAAGTGATAGCAGATTACTGCTTTCATCTTTTTAGTGATGTGATGATCTTGCAATGTTCACCGCAGTTCCTGGCAGTTTTGCTAATTTTTGCTTATTGTAATTGACGGAACTTCGAAACAAATGAAATGCATATACAGCATGGTCGGTGAACTGTATTCTGGCTTGTGCTCGTCCTCGTGTGACGCCTATCCCTTCATTTGCCACCATCTCTCCTGACTCGCAGGAGGCCCGTATCCGTCCAGTAGAGACCCGCACGCCGTCCAAACGGCCGCTGACGAGCAGTATCGAGTCCAACTCGCCCCTGCGGCCGCCGGCGCCGGCCAGCCTCCGTCCCGCCGCCGGCACCCCGGCCGGCTCCACGGCGGCCAGTCTGCGCTCCGGGCTGTCCGTGCTCCGCTCCGGAGCCTCCGACGCGCGCGGCGCCGACCGGCGGCCGACCCTGCGCCGCATAGCACACCCGATACGACCCACCACCGCGCCGGCCGCCAAGACGGTCTCCCGCACCGGCGCGGCGCCGACCCCTCCGACTCCGGCGCTCAGTGTCACCTCCACAACGACAGACGTGACGGTGAGGCGGCCCTTGGGACCGGCGCTGGCCGCCAGACGCCGCCTGCCGCTGTCCGGGGAGATGAGAGCTCCCAGGGTCAGAGAAGAGCCCTCCCCGGTGGTGCCGGAGGCGAGGACCCGCACCACGGCTACTGCCATCTCTGGAAGGAGCACGGCGCCGCCCGCCGCCAGACACGACACGACAACACCCGTGTCAGTATCGAGCGGCTCTGAGCGCGCCTGGGGCTCGCCACGCCAGCGGGCCGACAGTAAAACCCAGTGGCCGGACGTGCCGTGGGACACGCCGCGTCGACACAACCTCACTGACGACCAGAAGGTGCGTACTGACGGGACGGTCGGACGGCGCGTGGGAGGGACCAGGCCCGACGGTGACGTCCTGCTGGTCTCGGGAGCGGAGGACGAGTTCTCCTCGCTCTATGACGACCTCACGGACGACTCGTCGGCGGCCGACGAGCCGATACGAGTGGTGATTAGACGCCGGCCGACGGACGGAGGAGGGGGCTCGGCGGCGGCCACGGCCCGACCCGAGCTGCGCCGGCCGCGGACCGTGGGACTGGACCACGGAGACGACCGGGAGCGGATCACGACCGGAGCTGGAGTGCGTCATATTGGAGTCACGAGATTCGGTGACGAGGATCAGGAGGCGATGGCGCGGCCGATCGCTCGCAAATCGCCCTCCGAGTCACAGCGGCGCGACCAGCCGAGTCCGCGGGCCCTGGCGGCACGCCGCCGCTCTGCTCTGCCCATAGCCAAGTGCACGCTCCGCTCGCCGCTAAAGCACGCCTCCTCGGCTCACGCGTGGCTAAGCGGGCCGGGTGCGGTGCGCAGCTCCGGCTCCTGGTCCAGCCACGACCGGCTCGACTTCAGCGGTGGCCGCGAGGGGCGTCACCAGTCCAGTCAGCAGGCGGCGCCGGCGGCGGCGCAGCAGAAGGCCGGTCTGAGGGAGTCGGAGACGCAGACCGGCGGCGAGACGTGGCGGGCCGAGCCGGCCGACACGCGCTCCCAGGTGCTCCGCTACATGGTGCAGCGCGAGGATCTGGTGCCCGGCCACGGCGTGACACCCTACAGCAAGAAACCGTCGACGGCGCACCGGCTGGGCAGCGCCGGCCGACGGGCGACAGAGGAGGGGTCCTCCACCTCAGCCGACACAGGTGGGTGTCCGCCCACACGGCAGCGGTGGGGGGGGGGGGGGTTGCTGAAGCATTAGCGTTCCGTGCCCTATAAAACTGATCACAGTATTTATTTGATCATTGCAGATTGTCTATTTGGAAAAGCTGCTTGCAAATTTATTTTTAACAATCTTTAATGCTTTCCTGAACGAAAAGGGACAAATCTGTGTAAATTTCCGTTACGATAAACCCCAGTCCCATCCTCGTTCTCAGCGGGAGTCGTGTGGTTTATCATTAGGTACCTGTGCTAGTTGCGTCAATGTGAGGAATGTCACCTGCTGAGAGCAGCTTCATTCCCACAGTGTGTTGTGTCATACAATTTGTTTCAACAAGAACAAATAGTCACGGAAATATTGATAAGTGAGTTTCAAATAGACGTCAATCGTCATTCTCATCAAGCATTCATTGATAGACTCCTTTACAGTAGCCCGTGGGGTAATAATGTGTCCTTGTTGTCCCTGTGATGACGATAGGCATCCCAGCCAGTGCCACAGGATTGATATAAACTCTGTTCGAAATGAGTGCTCACCACTTCCATTCGAAATAAACCTATTCATTGTCTCGCTGTAAGTGGTTCGACTAATGTATATAGGATGTCGACCGTCTAAGCCTGCAGTCCTGCTGATCTGCCGTCCCGTGTCCCCCGCTGTGACCCCGCAGGATCGGTGCCGCGGGGCAAGTACCGTCCACAGACAGTTGCCAGCGACCCGAGCCAGCTCAAACAGTCGCGGGCCAGCCGCGTGCTGCGGCCCAGCGTCGTGTCGGGAGAGGAGCGCTCGACGGGACGGACGGCCGCCGTCCGACACAGGGACACGGGAATGTGGTGAGTGCCGCCAGGGGGGAACGGGGAGACGGGAATCAGCACGGCGGACATATCTGTACCGCCGGAACAGGAACCGGAAGACAGGGATTCAGTTTATTATCACGGGAACGGGGAGACGTTCATATACAGACTAGCGTTAAAGGTAGTGTGCCAGCTTTCTTGGACCGTATGGAGTTAATGGCCCAGATAAGGAGAACCGGATTTTTAGAACTTATCCATACCTTCAAAACTCATGGAAACGTCTTAAATTCTTCAAATTTTGAGTACCCCAGTGCGAAATTCGCCCCGACGGGTTGTCGGTCGTACCCCAACCACATTTCACACCACTATGAACAATAAATGCACACACTGAAATCGCTATTACCGATATGCTCATCCAATCAAGTTTCGATAAACCCGTTCATCATCATCTCCTGCGGTTTCGAACACGCCTGTTAGGTGGCTTCTGATGCTCGTCGAGGTCGGAATTTCCAAATACGCGTGGTGCGTCGGGCCGCGCGCTCTGACTTCGGCCAAGAAAAATGCGTCAGCTGATCATTGTCATTTCTGCCACTTGCGTGTGGTGAAATGGGGTCATAACTTATAAGACGGCTTTTTCATATCAATTATTTTACATAAAATCATATTTCAAACCATAAATAATGTTCGACAGCCAAATAAAAGAAACAATACAATACGGGCTTACAGTTTAAGGCTCGACATTGTGTTGTCTACGATTAGACAGCTGATAACTCATTCCCGTACGTCGTATGGTCGTAACACTATAATGACCTTTGCTTATTGTCACAAGTGCGCCGCATTCGCGATTTTTGCCCGACGCCTGTTTGCAGGTGAGCCCACTACAGTTGTTATACATATCTAAAAACCGAAAAACTTTTAGGCGAAAAAGGCACTATTCCAGGCCCATTTTTGATTTTTTTTGCGATATTAGGTAAAAACAGAAGCTTCTTATCTTAGGAAAAATAAAATGGGAAATCTTTCAAAGGTGGCACACTACCTTTAACTCGAGTATTTCTGATTTTGCCTTTGTGTATTTTCCAAACAAAATAATAATTTAAACCCCGGCAATGCGTATCGGACCACATGATAAATGCGTACCGATAAACACTGATACACTGTCAGCGAGAACCGATGTCCACCCGTCGCGCGGCGGCTCACCACCGGGCGGGGTGTCGGTGTCCGCCGGTGGACGAGCACGGCTCCACGGCGGCCACCAGCTGCGAGTAGAGCCTCCAGAGCACTGCGTCCCAGCGGCACACGGTGCCGCCGCCCCTGTCGCTCTGTGTCGACATCCTGTTCACATCTCCGACACACACCCACGGCCGGGCGGAGTCGTCGGAGACGGCCCACTTGCTGTGGTCTTTGGTGGTGCCGAACTCGAACGGCAGCTGCCCGCCGGCGGCCGTGGCCGTGATGTTTTGGACGTTCAGCACCGGCTCGACGGCCGAGCAGTTGGACGGCAGCTGCGTCTCGGTGGCGCCGTTCCGCCAGGTCTCGGTGAACAGGCCGGTGGTGAGGGTCGGAGCCACCAGGCCGCTGTACAGGTCGTCGCCGAAGTCACGCGCCTTGGCGTAGCTGGTGAACGTGGCGTCGCCCGAGGGGAGAGTCTGCACGCCGAACCAGGGCGGCTCGGAGCGCCGCTCGCCGGCGATCACCCGCGCCATCAGAGGGTACTGCGCCTCCAGAGCGGGCGCCAGCTGCGTGGCGTACAGGTAGGGCTCGTTGAAGAGCAGCTGCTGTGCCACCGTCTCCAGCTGGTCGGACGAGAGCGTCACGCACAGGAAGCTTTGGCCGTATGTGTGACCGTTCCCCGGGTAACTGTACTGCTCACCGGGCGGCGGAGGAAACTTGGGCACACTGTGGATTAGCCAGAAACCCTGGTCGCCGTCAAATGCCACCACGCCCTTGGTGTGACCCTTGACGCCGGTGGTGGAGTTGTCGGGATGCTCGTCGTTGTAGAAAACGTAGATGAGTGTATCCCTCTGCGGGTTATCGTAGACGTCTGCCAGCGTGCGGCCCGGCGCCGACAGGGGGTCGTCGATGGACACCTCGGACAGCGTCCACCTCTCATCCGTCGACGCCGACGAGAAGTGCAGGAATCCGACGCCGTCATCGACGAACGGCGCCCCGGTGTCGTGGATGACGGGCAGCTTGTAGAGGACGTACCAGTCGACGGCGGCTCCGCTCTGGTCCCGACAGCCGAGCGGGGAGCCGGCGGCCGGCGCGGCCACCAGGAGAGTCGCCAGCAGCACCGGCACCGACGGACACATGACGACCACTGGCGCGCAGGTCATACCCCCGGATCGGGCCAGTCGGGTCACATTGGGACCCGGCCCGGCTGGCCGCGGTCCGTGGGAATGAGTGTGAAAAGACAGGTGTTGAATCGGCGGGGCCGCTGTGCTGAGTGAGCGGTTTTGCGCCGTGCGCCTTATGAACCGTTCAAACAGTGCTGACCACCTACCGTTCTTATCTGACAATGACTTGCGAACACGATTTACTTAGCTTGTGGGCCTTGCTGAAATCACTTGAATAGGCATATGCGTAATGCGACCCTCGGTATCATAGCGATAGCTACCTCAAGTAACTGTTTGAACCATTCGAAGCTTTGCTATGCATTGTTGATCGATCTTGCTGGCAAAGTTAACTGCTAATAAATGGTAAATTGTTATGAAAGAAACAATTCGAGTTGTATATGTAAATGTATAGCTCATATTGATAGGTATATAAGCGCATATCAATTGTCAAATCCGTCGCAGACATGATTCATCACGGGCAGAGGAGTCCAGCGGCATGTATTTCTGCCAGCCGTATGCCCATCACTGGGGAGCAGCTACATTTGGCAGTAACAGCTCCACCCGACCTCGGTGGAATTTTGGCCTGGCTCCGCAGAGAAGGATGTATGTCCAGCTTTGCCCGATTAGAGATGTTTCATTTTCGATTTCGTTCATGGCCTTAATTTTCCGGCAGTCCATGAACACATTGAACAGTGTGAACTTTGTGCTATTGCGGCGTTTGACCGACTTCTGCGACCCCCGTGCACCCGGACTCTTATCGCCCGATGCCCCGGACGTGGCGCCCCTGGCACACCAGCGAGGGGGAGGGGGCTTCTCTCGGACGTCCGTCCGGTGCCTTTGTCCGCGGCGCCGTACCCCGGTCGACAGCTGCCGCTACTGGGGAGGGAGGGGAGCGCGCGGCTGGACGGGGCAATCACGCGCGCGCCGCTCCAGTACCCCGGCGCGCCAGTGGTCGTCATGTGTCCGTCGGTGCCGGTGCTGCTGGCGACTCTCCTGGTGGCCGCGCCGGCCGCCGGCTCCCCGCTCGGCTGTCGGGACCAGAACGGAGCCGCCGTCGACTGGTACGTCCTCTACAAGCTGCCCGTCATCCACGACACCGGAGCGCCGTTTGTCAGTGACGGTGTCGGATTCCTGCACTTCTCGGCGGCGTCGACGGGCGAGCGGTGGACGCTGTCGGACGTACCCATAAACGACTCGCTCTCCGCCGCCGGACGGACGCTGGAGCCGCTCTATCAGCACACGTTGAACAAGAGCTTCATCTACGCCTTCTACAACGACGAGCACCCGGACGGGCCAACCAGCTTCACAAAGGGCCACACCAAGGGCGTGGTGGCGTTTGACGGCGACCAGGGTTTCTGGCTGGTGCACAGTGTGCCGCACTTCCCACCGCCGCCGGGTCAGCGCTATGGCTACCCGCACACGGGCCACCACTTCGGGCAGAGCTTCCTGTGCGTGACGCTGTCGTCCGACCAGCTGGAGACGGTGGCGCGGCAGCTGCTCTTCAACGAGCCCTACCTGTACGCCACGCAGCTGGCGCCCGCTCTGAAGGCGCGCTACCCGCTGATGGCGAGGGTTGTGGCAGGGAAGAGGCGCTCCCGATCGCCCTGGTTCAGTGTGCGCCCGCTCACCACCGCCGCCAATCTGTCCCTAGCCACCTTCGCCAAGGCGCGTCAGTTTGGCAAGGACCTGTACGCGGACCTGGTAGCACCTGCCACCCGTGCGGACCTCCTCACCGAGACCTGGATGAACGGACCTCACGCCGACCTGATGAAGTCGGAGTGTTCGCTGGCCTTCCACGTACAAAACGTGCGGGATATCTCGGTGACGGCGGAGCGCGCCGCGCCGACCGTCGGCAGGACCACCATCACGTTCAAGAGCTCCGAGGACCACAGCAAGTGGGCCGTCTCCGAGGACGCCGCTCGGCCCTGGGTGTGTGTGGGAGACATCAACAGAATGCTGACTCAGGAGGAGCGGGGCGGTGGCACCGTGTGCCGCTGGGACCCCGTGCTGTGGAGGCTCTACTCGCAGCTGGTGGCCGCGGTAGAGCCGTGTCCCGGCAAACAGCCCGTCAACGTGTACCGCCGACGGCCGTAGGGACCGCGGTCACTGGTCGTCTCTGTATACTGGGGGAGGGTGGGTTCGGTTCGATCAACGAAACCGGTTGGAGCGATGGTGAGTCATGCCCACTATCAGAAACGGTCAAATAGGATAGCCAACTTTGTTTGTGCAACTGATGGTGTTTGGGCTGGTATGCCTGTGGTTCCGGCTTTCATTCAAGATCGTTTAGTAGCTTCAGCGTAGCATATACGCTCTAAGATGTGTTCCAATATCGCCTCATCAGTGGTTGAGTCAAAAGATTGACTCTCACTTTGTCGTGCTTGTGTGTGGTATGCTGAGTGAACGGCGTCGTCTACAACTGATCGTTCTGCTCGTTCGACAATTGATGATCACGTTTTGCACCGCTATGATGCTCATTTAATACATTTCCGGTCGTTTTTTGTTGTTGTTGTTTTTTAATAGCACCGTAATGTCTACGTCGTTGACTTTGACTTTGAGCTTTGTGGCTCCGTGAATCGAGCCTTCCTCACGTCAAAGAAGTTGAACCGGATTGCTAAGACGCACTACATGTGGCTAGGCGGGCGTTTTATGCCTTCCTTCGGTTTTTCGCGATCATCTTGAATGATGTTAACCTCAATCCCGTCCTCTGTTCGCCAGGTGAAGCCATATGGACCTCTGAGCGGCCGTGACGGAGGCGGCTCCCTCTGCGTCTGACACCAGGGCGGCGCCACTGTCGGCGCAGGACAGTCGCCGGCAGCGGCGGGCAGCTGGGTGACGGGCCGGGCGAGCTCGGGTGGTTTTAGACTGCTGTATAGTGAGAAGCGGATGGGTTGGGGTGGATGGGTGGGGAATAAGAACTGAGCGTTGATGAGGGGTGGGAATGAAGCGAGCCCAGTGCTGGTGCGACGACGGACCCCAGTCAAGAGGTGTCAGTAGGGAGATGGTGAACATTTGTGCAAAGAATTGGAATGGTGGATAGTCGTGGCTCGAAAACAACTTATAAAGAGGAAACCAACCTAGCATAAATGACTGATTCGAAATTAAATTTCTGATGTTATCAGCATGCACTTACTTACTGTTACACATTGAAACGGTAAACGCATCACGCCAATTCAATCAACATCCACACAGGGTCACTGTTTCAACTTTGACACCTCATCATATACCTAGTCATTTGCGATGTCAATTTGCAGTTTCTCCGACAAAACAAAATACGCCTTGACAGCCTGCCTTCGAAGCCTCGCCATCGTTGGTAAATAATGTCCAAAATTGACATATTAAAACATAACTTAGGACGTGCATTCAAGACGCGTGGCACGTCTCTTCTTATTGCTAAGGACAAACTGTAGTATCAAATGACACCAGATCAAAATAAACAACTGTTTTATTTACGTGTTGGCACACCCATCCACACATTAGCGGCTGAACATGTCAAGCCGTGAGCTGAATTCGGCTCACTCAGTACTCGGTACGTATTCGGAGGGACATTTGGAAGCTCACAAACGCCACTTCACCACAGAAGCTTATTGCATGGTCACAGTCTCACCATTTTGGGCCCACGTTTCATCAGCGTTTTCCAGTCCGCAAGCCCATGTTAGAAAAATAGATGTCTGCTTTCAGGAAGAAATGATAGTCTTGCCACCTCAAAGTGAATATAAAATAGTATTTATATGCTAATAACACAAGCCTTTAGTGACGGCATCACCGTATTGTCTGGTCTGGAAACACGAGCTGAAAACACACCATCTGGCAACATCATCCGTAGTTGTTGCCAGACGGCTGGCTGGCCGACCCGGACCGGCCTATGACGAGGCTAGGGAAAGATAACGGCTGACCTGCCCCGTGTCTTACCGAAGACTGCTCGGGTCTGGATCCGACCTGACCTCATTACTCGTAGATGGCGCCCCTCCTGGCCGAAGGAGGGCATCACGCTCCGTCGGGGAAAACCTTGTAGGGGTTCATGATGCCGTGAGGATCCAGCAGCTGCTTCATCTGACGCATCAGCTTGACCTCCACCGGGTCCTTGCAGTGGGCGCCCAGGTTCCTGCCAGGACGGAGTAACCGATCACTCGTCAGTGAATGAATGTTTTTAGTACGTTGTCTTTGGTGAAGTTATTATAGCATCCTGGTTTTCGTAAACGCAGTAAACGGTGCTACACAGATAATCACAAATTGGCTGCCCAGAAAATGAAAATGCCCAGAAAATGTCTTGAACTTTGCAAAAAAAAAAAAAATGCATTGATACGCGTGATTAAAGATGATCAACTGTTAACAAAAGTCCAGTCTCATACAACGTGTCAAGAATGAAGCAGCAGGGATGAAATCAAAGCTGTTTTGCAAAGCTAAAAACAAGGACAATTAACATTTACGTTGGCACTCTGTGACCTGTTGGGTCACTCCCACTAACCTCACTCGCTGTTCAGTCCCATACAGCCACTGATCTGTTGGCTCACTCCCCCTGACCTCACCCGCTTCCACTGACCTGTTCCGGAAGCCGCAGCCGAGCTCTGCCGACACGGCTCCGCCCGCCCGGGTCACGTAGTCGGTGATGGTGCGGTCCAGCTCGTCGCTCGTCTCCGGGTCAAAGTTGTGCGACTGCAGTGCCAGGTGCAGGTTGCTGTCCAACAGGTGGCCGAAACTCGCCACCTGGCCGACACGAGGGCCGCTCGGTCATTGGGAGGTCAAGGAGTGGGTGGGTGGTGAACGGGGTATAGATGAAGATCGTGGTACCTACATATATACTTGTTTGAATAAGAACGTCTGTTTTTATCGGCTCTAGAATTACGTGTTTTATACGAAAATTAATTGAAAAACAACGCATAATATGTGTTACAATTTAACTGATATAAAATGCGTTTGTATTATTGGGCTAGCGATTTCAGCCAGCAGTCGTTACCTTGAGGATTTCTCCGCTGAGTTCCTTGCGCAGCTTCTCGACGAGCTTGTACTGTTTGTCGTGCGGCAGCGACACGTCGTAGTGGTAGACGTTGCCACCACGCGACAGCGCCGCCAGGATCCGCGTGTTGATGTTCCATAACCGCTGCAGACGTGGAGAGGGTTAGCAGTTAGAACTACGACGGAAACTGCAGGGGACTCTGGTGAGGGACGGGAAGGGTAGATAGTAAGAGTATAGACTAGAGTCTAAACTCTAGAGTGTAGAGTGTAGAGAGTTTCTATGTGTAAGGTGATAACAACTTTTCTATAAATGCTATCGATAATTTAGTAAAAAAAAGGCCCTCACAATGTGCGGTAACAATGGCACATAAACGTCACGCGATAAAGATGCGCAACTTATGGTCATACAGGTATAATTCGTATGACATCTTTCGTCAACATCCGAAGATAAAGTCATGTAAAATGCAACATGCGTCACTAGCAACCGCCTCCCTCCTATCTAAGGACTCCCATGGGCGCCTCGTCGCCCCATCTGACCGACCTCGACGAAGGTGGGGTCGTCGTAGTTGAGGGGTCCGATCTGGCCGTCCAGGATGAGCTCCTTGTCCTTGAGCGCGTTGAAGAGCGTCTTCAGTTTCTCCTCGTCGTGCATATCGCACTGCCCGGCCGTCTCGATGAGCACGTAGAACGGCTTACTGGGCACGCCCCAGGCGCTCAGGTACTTCTTCTTGACAGACATCACCGCCTCCTGTGGAAGGGGGAGGAGAAATTAAGTTGATCGGCGTCATCGGTGGAATAAAATACGACCTCGTTCACTAAAGAAATATACATTGGGATATCGTATTCAGTTGACGCGTATGGTTACGTTTACTTCCTTTTATGTGACCCGGAAAACACACCTTTTCGACGAGTTCCAAAGAAAAAAAAAACACTCGAATTGTTGCCTAGGTAAACATGGCCTTTTATGACCATGGTCATGGATAGGTATCTGGTTGATGCGAAGTTCATGTACACAATATCCGTCTATCGTTCTCATAACAACCTGTGTTGATAGCAGAATCGTCATCCACTTATCCTTTTATCGACAAACAAAGCTCCACAAAAAGAAGATTCCTCGAAACACTCCCTGCGTGATCTAGATACAAAGTGAGCAGCGTCGTGTACTCACGTTGTCCATAAACTCGCAGGCGGAGGTCAGCTCGCCGAGGTGCGCCTTGGTCATCCGCATGATGCCGAGCACCTTGTGAAAGCTGTCTGTGTACACCATGGCCACGTTGATGTGCTTGGGCAGCGACGGACACGCCATGGCCACCTGTGGGTACGATAACGACAGGGGTGAGAGCGCTGAGGGGGAGGGACGGGCGAACCCAAATTCCGCCACGCATTTAGATGAAACCAGAGCCTATGTATCCAGAGCCTACCAGAGCCTATGTAGCGGAGGCAAGTTCATAATTCCTTTACCGACAAATTTAAATGCCGAAACAGGACATCTCGAAACGTCGTTAAACAAGTTTGATGCCAAAATTCAACATCTTGCAACGTTGCCAAACGGTTAACAGCGTATGCAGGGACTGGTATAGAGAGCACCAGTTATCGAACAGCTGCCGAGCAGCCTGAGCCGCGGTCGGCACTACGGTGTACCCACCTTTGTGATGATGCCTAAACTTCCTTCTGAGCCGACGAAGATCTGCTTCAGGTCGAACCCGGTGTTGTCCTTGCGCATGGTGGACATCGAGTCCAGGACGGTGCCGTCGGGAAGGACCTGCGAATAAACCGTGCTGTTTATACGAGAAACGATTGAAGCAAGCACGTGTAAGAGAACAGAAAGTTATAAAATGGTACAAAACAGGAAGCATGTAAATCCCTCAAAATACCTCTCATGCCACATCGCATCGCCCATCATACAACCAACTTGTCACACGATTGAGACTTCTCAAGTATCGTCACCCTTCCCATCTCCTGCAGATAAATCAACGCACAAACGTCTTCTCTTCATTGCAACACACTGCAACACCCCCACTCCTGACACTCATCTCTGGGCCCCTCCAACTCCCTCACTCCTCACTCACCACCTCCAGTCCGAGTACGTTGCCGTGCAGGTTACCGTAGCGGGCCGTGCGCGGTCCGGCCATATCCGCCGCCACGATACCACCCAGCTGCGCCTCCCGGATCGTGTAGTCCACCGGGAAGAACAGGTGCTGGTTCTTGGCGGCGTGCTCGAGATGGTCCAGCGAGCAGCCGGCCCCGCAGGTTAGGGTGCCTGGGGCAGTGGGATGTAGGGGCTGATCAAACTTGTCGCTATGTCCATGGGCTCAACAATCATTGAGCACACATCTCTTTTTATTTGCTCGTGGCCCAATCGACACGCGACATCGTCATTGACATACATTACCATGTCAAACCCGACAAGCGATTTTTAAATCCCTTGAAACCCCACTGCACAATCCTGAATGAGGCCTCAGCCTGGGACGTGACCCGTGTCAACCCGACGTCCTTATAGCCCCCGTCGGTACCCAACCCTCGCCCCCGCCTGTCCCCTCAACACGCGTCCCTCCTTTTACTCACCTCCATCGGTGTCAACCTCGATGACCTCGTTCATCTTAGCGGTGCTGACGATGATCTCGTCGAAGACGGGCACACTGCCGCCGACCAGTGAGGTGCTGGCGCCCTGGGGACAGACGGCCAGCCGCCGGTCCGAGCAGTACTTTAGGACGGCAGACACCTCGGCCGTCGTCTTCGGGAATACCACGCATGGTGAGCAGCCTGTGGGGAGGGGAGGAGGGTCACTGGTCTGCGGGGGTGGGGTGGGAGGGGAGGGATGCTCAACTGTCTACCATCGACTACGAGCAGCAACTCAATGACGTTTGGCGCTATGGCATCAACCATTTGGCATTTAGTATTCTGCCGTTTGTCGCGTTTGCCAACGTTTGACGTCAAATACCCCGTCATTTGTTTCTTGTAGTTGCAGTGATCAAGACCATTGCCTATCCTGGTCGCATTATGGTATTTATTTGTATCCCGCCGCCTACAGGGCCAGTCATCATCTCGATGTCTCCCGCTCGCCGTCTCGGAAGCCGGCACACCCACGCTCCGCCCGTCTCACCTCTGAGCGACCGCAGCCAATCGGTGTTGTGCATCAGCAGGTCATCCTTGTCGGTCTCGACGCGG